TTTACAGAGTCAGCAGTACATATGCTGACTCTGTAAACCGCTTAGAGAGGGCTGAAAGCCCTATGAAGCGGTATATAAGTCTAACTATTGCTATTGCTATTCGGCAGGCCCAATCCAAGTTCCCACTGCCCTGGCAATGCATCTTGGTGCTGTGCTGAATAACTTCGTTTCTTGTGGCTCCGGGAATTTGAGAGGCATTTCCAAAAGAGGCGGGGTACCAATTGTCACACCCTCTCCATGCCCTGCCTCAAAGTTGGTCAACATTAACAATGTCCTCCTGCTGACTTAACCCCACCCTCCTTTTTACTGTCGTCATCTGTTTTTACCTGGCCTCCCCTGATGAAAGCTGAATGTCATCATTTAAATAGAACCAATAGGAAGCAGGGCTTCATTGGTTACTGGGAGATGACAGATGTCTTGCAAGTTGTCCCGCTCTATTGAGGCGGCCATGAACAAGCTCTCATCTGCCCACACATTCTCTCTCTGCTGCACATCAGCAGGAGCTCCTTCCCCTATGTGGTTTTCAAGTTGTGGGCTTGCTTGCAACCTGGGCCCTCCAGATGGAAACACTGCTCTGCAAAATGCTGGCTTTATGCAGTGGAAGTCTGTGCTCATTCTTCACTGAACCCCAGGTGCCTTGCTGGAGCAGAGAGGTCAGCATCACTCAGAACAAACCTCAGCTTGTTTAGCTCCATGCTCCATTGCAAATGCCCAGAAAGCCAATAGGCATCAACTGAAAGGAAGCCCCTGCTATGCTGGCCAGGGCAGACTTCTGCAAAGGGTAGATGTAGGCACAGACATGAAAGGGCGGGACTTTTATTATCTATCAACAGTACAGAAGCCTGAGCAGTCAGCAGCTCAGCCATTATGAAACCAACTTGCCTCTGTTGCCCCCTACATGCTGATCTCCTGATGTTGGGGAAATAAGGCCCCCAAGGAAGCAACATTTAACAATGTTGGCCTCCTAGAAAAATGTCAATGTCAGAATTCAAGAGGAAGGAAGTAGGACAGCCAGACCTCAAGGTCTCCTGGTGCAGGAAAGGTGGCCTGTTGGATGCTGCAGTAGTTTTTTTGGAATTGGTGGCAAGATATTCTCCTTCTTCTCCTCTCAATTACCTAACTAGAAAACCTCCCCTTGGGCCTCTCGGCGGGGGGGACAGATTCCCTCTTTCTCTTCACGAAAAGTTGATGAAATCCAATTCTCGCTTCATCCTCAAAGTGACTTCCAGTGTGGCCTGCTCAGACAGAAAACAGGCTTTCCCATTGGTGGCGTCCACTGGATGAGGTAGATGTAAAAGGAGCCGCCTGGAAAACAGACCATTGCAAGCTGAAATCGAGGGAGGCATGAAGAAGCGGGGGCTTGCTACATGCAAAATCAACTCCCCCACTTCCCCAGTACTAGCAGAAAGGTAAACACCAGAAGCAAAGTGTTGTGGCCCGGCAGGAGCTGTTGGAGCTGCCGCCAGACTCCGACAGCGAGGGGTCTTATGAGTCGGCCCTGGAGGAGGTG